CACGCTGCATAGTTTGTATCAAATTCCACTCCATCTTTATAATAGTACATCCTGAACAGTTGCCCAAGACGAACGTTAGCAGCAGACCACCACTCTGCGACTTTCAATCCCAACAAAAATCCATCGATTCCTCCCAAGATTTCTGCATCTGTTGCTGCAGAATGAATCGATGTTAACGAGGTAAAGACTTGAGGGCATTTAGTATTAGGGGACCAAGTACCACCAGGTCCAAACAGAGGCTTTGATGGGTCGTTTTTGTTCRTGAGACCAGTCTGCGCGATATCCCCAGCAATGGTAGCAGCGTACAAGTTATCCATATGCTTTGATGATAGTTCATAAATTTCTTGTAAAATGAGGTCTTTATTTCTGTTCAYTCCTGCACAGATGCCAGTGATAACACGACCCATGGCTACGTCACCGTGTGGTGTACTAACGACCCCGCGTTCTTGTCGTCCAGAGAATCCATGGTCCAACATACCTCGAAGAACTCTCTTCTCGTCCGTTGTCAAAATACCATCTGGAAGAGGCTCTGGGAAAAAAAATTAATAAACTCAAAAAGCGTTGCCTAAGTCTTACATATGCTAGAATAGGACATGCAAACACAGTAGATTTTCATGGTCAGTCCAGAGGTTGTTTCGATCTTAGATTACTTTGACTAAGATCAGCCAATAAAGAAGCTGTTAAGAGGTTGAACGAAAACTGACGCTTTTGGACTACTACATTCTCTTTCACTTACCGGACTTCCCCAGCAGTTTGTTCCACTTTTGATTATTGTATCCAAAACTACTTCTAATGTAATTTGCAATCACTTTGAGCTGTTTATTGCCGCTCATCAAGGGATGACGTTCTATCTTTTCTATCAGCTCAATAAAGTGATCAAGCTTGTAGATAATGTTCTTCTTGATTGACAAGTTTCGTGGTAATCTGAAACCAATTCAACTTGTTAAAATAGGCAAGGCAGGGCAGGGCAGGGCAGGGCAGGGCAGGGCAGGGCAGGGCAAGGCAAAACTGACAAAGCAAAGCAAATCTGACAAAGCAAAGCAAATCTGGCAAAGTGATGCAAATCTGGCAAAGTGATGCAAATCTGACGTCAAAAAAAAGCGAAGTTATAATACAAATCAACAATGCATTCTCCCATGTTTTACCTTGAAGAGGCTTTGCCGTCTTCTTCACCAAAGACTTCTGCAAAT